TTTTTAATTTAATTATTTAGCCTTGATCACACTAATAAAAGGATCCCAAAAGCTTTAATATCTGCATTTGAAATTTTATAAAATCATATTGAAGAGGCAATATTTCTTTTATGCACGCTTTTAGAACCTGTGTTGTTAGAAAAAGTGAGTGAAGCATCAATTTCAATAGACTTAAAACACGACGAAAAAATATTTTAAATTCGCGTCTGCCTGTAAAAATACTTCATTCCTGAATACACAGTCTCCAAGTCTCATTGATTTCAAGAAAGAATTAATGAATCTGAATCATAAGCTGAATGTATTGGTATTTAATTGCATACTCTAAACTTTATTTTCTTTGTCTAATAGCATTTTGCAATGTATACTGAAAACGTATATCAAATTTGTAATGTGTATGTAATATAAAAAATTTCAAGTATGAATTTAAATTTGTTTCTTATGCAGTATTTAATTCTTAAAAACATGATATTGATGGCTCTTTCATAATGGGTGCTGAATTATGGTTTTACATTATTAAAGACACCCTTTACTCCCCAAAAAATTCTGCAAAAATTTCAGTTTAGGAATCAGATAAAATTGATAAAATTTTTAATTTTAGCTTTATTACAGGTAGTAAATAGAAACAAATACTAAATTAGTTTTTTTAACCATAAAATATATCCTTAAAATATGGATTTTAAAATTTAACATGCATACATAGTTTTAATAATATTAAAATATCTGCCTCAAAATTTTATTTCATCATGTAGCAGGTAATTTTCATTATTATGAGGATGAATCTTCTTTTGTTTAATTAATTCCCCTGCCAATTTTTTCGCTAATTGGCATATTCTTTCTGAAGGGACCATTTAAACACTAAAATTTTATGTTATCTTGTTGTTAAAAGGTATCACAAAATCAAAATTATTACAATCTGAACCCCTGTCCCTTGATTTATTTTTTAAACTGGAGCCATGGATTTCCAACAAATCATTCAACAAATATTTAGTTATGCAAATCTTTTCTAAACACACTGCACAATACATCTAGAACTAACATATCCTGAAATGAGAAAATAGCAGTAATAAGAAAATGGCATCACATTTATAGAATGAATACAGCAAAATTATCATTTAAACAGCCTATTTGTATCCCTTTACTGATCTCACCTGATTTAAAATGTGGGATGTTATAACACATTTGAATGAAATAAAACAACTAAATACTAATAATAATAATAAAAAAAAATTAATTACTCAACATATTTAATACATTGCTGAGAACACTATCCCATTTTCATCAAAGGAAGAACCTGTTGTTATTATCTAGATAATCCTGACCATAGCAACCACTGAAATCATGCAGCCCGTTAACTTCTAGCATTTTCATGATGTCAATCAGTGGTTGAGCGGCTGCAGATGCTTAATGCTAGTATGTTGTTCGGAATTTGGTTTTTAATGACTGAGTGAATAATGGTTATATTAAAATTTTCTGATGCACAAATTTAATTACAGGTCAGATTTCCTTACAAAGTGATCCATATAAAAGCTTTTACTGTTTTAAGAAAATATCCTTTAAACATTTTTTCACAATTAAATAATCTAGCCAATGCTCAAGGGTTTTACCAAGCCCTAGTTTTCGAAAACCTTTTCTAAAATCAAGCCCTAATTTTAGAAAAGCTATGGACATCAAGATATCATTAAAGAAGTCTGAAAATCATTTTTTAAATTAAGGGAACACAATTTTTGTGAATAATATTATGACAGTGAATTTGTTATCTGAAGGAAATCATTCAGATAGCTCAAAATTATTAAACTAGAGTTCAACTGCTGCAAATGGAACATTGGTGGCATTCTGCCAGAACACTTAGCCACTCTGCTGAGTCATCCAAAAGGGGTGTTAATTACATGCTGTATGGTAATGTGTCACATAAGAGTTCTCTCTTTGCTGGAAAGAGGGGATTTACTATTAAAAGAGGGAAAGATGTCAATGTGTGATCCTGCCATCACATGCTTTTCACATCTTTGGTTCATATGAGCAGAAATTAAGATTCATATTGATTTAAAATTTAAAAACCAAGCATCTTAATTTTTTTTCCATAATTTATAAATTTTATATTAACAGTCCACATTCCAACATTTATTTTCAAAAATAAGATCACTTAAAGTTAACAAACTATATTTTTTTAGAAGTATAATTTCTGTAGGATAGAACAATGGTTAACCCTTCCCTTTCAGGACGGGCATCCCATATATGCATTCCCTAAGAACGTCTCTTACAGCCGGGCGTCCCATCCACACATCGCTAGAGATTGCATCAGAGGACGGTGATGCGTATACGCATTTAAGCTGGAAGTTTTTCTAAGACCATTGATGATCCTATGTCCTTCTTTTGAAATGACACAGTTTAGGTTCTGACCTTGAGTTGATATTCTGCTTACTTTGTATTTTATCATCAGCTCTTGCCAGGGTGGGGGAGGGGAAAACTAACAGAGGCAGTCTTAATCGCTGCGTGCTAATAAACATTCGTGTCTGATTTATATCCAATTTCTTTTTTTTATTCTATTTTCCCCTCTACTAGGTACAGTCTTTTAGGGTTAATATGTGGACTTCTGTTATGTTTTGCATTGCTTTTAGATATATTTCCGTTTCTTCTCTTTATTTCGGGAAGCCTCACCTCTAGTCTATTATGGCGGGAAGGCGCTATTTATCAGAGGAAAAATACCCTCATATGGTTAATGAACCATTTACTAATGCAGATGATTAGTGATTATTCATTTTCTAAAGAGTTAGAAAGTGATACTTTTTCTAAGAGTTCGAATGTGATACTTTTTCTGAGAGTTTGAAAGTGATACTTCTCTGTGCTTCGAGATTTACCACATCAGTCTTCATTTTAAATTTTGTTACTTCTTACTATAAATAGTCTTTATTATGTTGTTTTATTAATTTTAAACTTTATCTGATAGATTTTTCAATTAAAACTTTGAATAATTTAAATAGCGCTTTTGAAATATTTACTAGATAACAATTTTTTAAGTATGTTTCAGTAATAAAGAAAAATACGTTATTAGTGCTAATTTTTATATATAAGAGCTCAAGAATAACTAAATGAACCAAATTGCGATGCTAGAAGCGAAACTTTTTTTTTTCTGATTTTTTGTAATAAAATTAGGCTTAGCGATGCAAAACCTCCGTCCTGTATGGTGACTGTCTTCGATTCCCTTCCGTCCCGGATGAGCGTCTTAAAGGTGCGCCACCGCGAAAAGGTTAACAAGTTTTCATGTTATTTGAGCAGGGTATATCCAAATATAGCTGATTTAACACGACATTTGCCGGTATTATAATTGTAACATTTATCAGTATTATAACATTTGTTAGTATTACAAGAATATTTTTTCTTCCTTAAATAAATTTTTTTGCAGCCAATATGAATAATAATGCATATAAATTTTAGTACAAAAATAAAAAAAGATATGGCATGGTTATTGATTACAGTATAATTACTATACTTAATCAAATAATTATAATGATTATTCATTAGTGCTCTTGTTCTGACTATGGGCAGAATGAAAAATATATATATATATATACTACGGACCTTAAAAAATTTGTTAAGGAAATATCTTTCTGAAGTTATGTACAGGTGTTTTCCCAAAATTTATTAACTTGCAAAATGAATTTCATTTAATGCATTTTCTGGAACTGAGGCAGACAGCCTTCACATATAGCAGCAATGAAGAAATTTAATACTGAAATATTAAATAGCAATTAATAACAAATTAAGCAGAATATGAGAAATTAAAACTTTTCTTATGGTTTTGTTTCTACTTTTATTTCAATCAAAATTAAAATTTGTAACTAATTATTACATATGAGTAACTTAATACATAATTCATCCTCTATGAGACAAATTTATAGTTTAATAACTGAGTTTTAATATTTTATATGTAATATATTTGACTAAAATGTATTCCCTCATCCCCCCAAAAAAGCTTTCAAACATTTCAGTATTCAAATTGCACAATTTATTTTAATCTGATACTGTAAAGGAAAGAAAACAAATTACTACAGTGTCTCTAAAAGTCAACACCATATTTAAATCCTATGATATTTACATATGTAATTTAACATAAACCACATTTTTATATGATAATGCATTTCAATAACATAAATTCATGTTTTTAAAATAAAACAAAAATTTATTGGAAGAGCTGGACTGCTTACTTGCAATGCTAATTACACAGCTTCAATTTAATTTACAAGAGATTTCATATGTTGCTGCCGATTATATTAACAGTTCTAAACATTATTATAATTAATTTATCATGGAATCACCTAACATTTACAAGGAATACAGTACTGTTTACTGGACAACTTGCACAGCAACAGATGAAAAGTATCAAATTACTTTTATTAAAGGATTACAAAATACATAGAAATATAAAAAATTCAGTTTATTCCTTTAGTTCAATGAAGTTTATATCACAGTTAAGTTTCATTTTTAAGTGTTAATTTTTGATCAAACTTTAAGTATTTTTGAAATTTTTATTTGTGAAGACAAACTTGAATAATCATCTGCTTTGGTACATAAAGTATTAAATTTCATACAAAATTATGAAAATAGAAAGTCAGAGCATTGTCTTCAAAAGTTTCTAAATCTAAAAACATTATTTTAGTTTCAGGAAAACTTCACAAAACAACGTAACTTGTAAAAATGAAAGACCACAGAATTTAAAAACATTTAATTTCTTACAAAATTTAAAGAAAACTTAATATAGTCGGCACTGTTACAAACATATATCTCCCAATCAATGACTAAATATCTTTTGAATGATTTCTCATGGATCCCAGGTTCTAGTTTCAGAAATGAATCAAATAAGATAAACCTTTAAACTAAGATAATTTTATCAAAAATGTATATAGGCCACAGAAGATTTTTATATAGGTTCCACTGAAAGAAGTGTTAAAAATTGTTTTTCATGGTTCAATTATTTAAAGGTGGACTTGAACTTTTAAAATTCCTCAAAACTTTGGTATTTTGGAAACAATATACAAATGTTAGACACAGATATATTGATATATTAAGTTTTTGAATGAAAGTTTCTAATATTTTAAAAACTATTTGAATTACCTTTTATGTCTTTTGGAAATCCATTAATTTAGAAATCTTGGGTTTAAATTAACATCTGCAGAAAAACTAAAATTTTGTATTTAATGACAAGTTTATATAAATCTTCAGATATAAGTGCTTTAAATCATTATTCTGACAAATTTTTGAAAGTCAATTTTGTACAGTATGGATGGGACATTTTTCTAAAAGATTTTTAAAAGGCATAATTTATGAACTTGGGCTTTCTTCATACAAGAGAAGCATACAAATTTAGATTTTGTATAAATTTACAAAAAGATATTATGAGACGAAAATTATTGTGGTCTGAAAGCCTATCTAATTCATACATTTCTTAAACTGAATCTGCATACAAGCAATCATTAAAGAGACATTTAGTCATGCAATATATTTGAAAAACCCTGAAAAGGGTGCAGCCAAAATGCAGGCAGAAATATAAGTCACATTGATGCCTCATTGCATATAAGGTTAGTTTCAGTGGATGTTGTAGCACTGTTGAAACACACAATATTAATTTAAGTGGTTGCAGCATATATGTTACATTCATCTAGAATCAGGACAGTGATATGTAAGAGAGTTGTCATGATAATATAAAACAGTACAAGTTCATTTTTGAGTATTATTTTGCTTAATTGCATTAAATAGTTGTTAATAATTTGTAAGTATGTTTTGAGATTGTTACACCATATAGAGAATCTAAATATATTTCTAGAAACATAAATATATTCAACCAAAAATTTGTTTTAACAAGAAAGATAAAATGCAATAAATCTGCAATCAAGCTATAGTTCTATTTTTATGGATTGACTGAGAAGCTATTGTATTATCAATGTGTACAAAACTGAGCTATTGTTGACAAGAACTGAAGCTCCACAAAAAGTCAATCCATTTTCATACCTATAAGTGGTTATTTTGCTTGAAACAACGATGGTATTCTGGATAAAACACTCTTTTAGAATGATGCTTTTTTACTTTCATGACACAGGCTACATTATTATCACTTGAAAAAACATAAATATTTTTCAAGGAAGGAAGATTCAAGAACTTTGTAAATGAAGTAAAAATTTGTAAAGGGAAAACAGAACATTTTCAATATTTATAAATAAAAGCCTTAGGTAATTGTATTTCTATAGCTGCTATTTCTCGGAGTGGCATTTTGGCTGCTACATCATACATATTTGTAATTTCATGTAATATTATTTTTAAATTAATGTAATACAGGAGTTGTGTATGATTTAAAAAAAATTAAGAAAGAAAATACCTAAATGACTAATCAAACTAAATTTTTAATGTTCTACTTAAGCAGCTATTTTTAGTACATATCTTTTATTGGTAACTGAACTGAGATTCTAAAAAATGTAATAATATTTCAACAAACAATTATACGAATAGACTGTTAAATACAATTTTTTTTTGGAGAGGGGGAGGGATTATTTGAAAGTATCAGTTTAAAGTAAAAACAATATTCAGTTTTTTTTTTTTTTAATTATGGAATAATCTTTCATGCAAGAAGTGAATTATAGAAGAAATAACTTATTACAAAACTGGTTTTACTTTCCATTCAAAATAAATAGAAGGAAGCTGTAGATGCAACTAGATATCAGTTTCTCACATAGTGATGGGATTTACGCTCTTTGCACATTGCACATAAAAAGAGAATATTCACTGGCATTTTAACAAGCTGCAACTATAATGAGAAAGTAAGATAGCAAACAAAAATATCCAGTGTACCTTTTCTTTCTGACAGGCACTTATAATAATAAATATTTACAGTTATTAATTGCATATAATTATACTAGTAACCAAAACACGCTTACAGAGAGAATTGCATATTTCAAGATAAAAAAAATAAATACATAAAAAACAGAATTATAGGAGTATAAGTAATGTTTTCCCAAAATACATAAAAGGAAAGATACACATAATAAAAAAGATAAAGATGTGAAAGTTTTTTAATTTTCAGAGCCATTATGAAATCATACATTGAATCAAATGTATTTTCCTCGTGCATTTTTAGGGAGGGCAGGGAGAGAACAAGAAATGTTTAAATGAAAATTTGAAAAATTAGGACATGCATTCTTAAAATAACACAAAGCAAATCTTGAAGGATGATAAGTATCTTGAAGAAATAGTGACACTGACTAAACTTCTTTTCAAGTATGAGAATATCGTTTTGATGACAATCCACACTGTACATAACACTGGCACATGGTTCAAAATATGCCAAATATAGTAATACTTTTTTTTTTTTCCTTATATATAATTACAGGAGCAATTTGAATTTTATAGTGAGACAGATGACGATTGTCACGACATTTATGATACATGATTTAAAAAAAAAAGGACTAACTACCACTCAGAATCACCTAAAGCTTTATGAAAAACAAAATCTTTGCCTTGGAGGTTCATGATACCATCTTTTAAGTGGAACTTCCATTTGTTTTTGCTCCTATTTATCTGTAAAATAATTTTACTAATATTAATGTTAGTATTTCAATAAACATAAAAGCAACTTATATCTAGGATTAAATAAAACATACTGTGCTTAACCCTCTAAGTAGTACAGGTTTTTGCATCTGCTCACGAAGACCTGTATTGAAACTGCAGCTAATAACTAAATTTGTATAATTACTCATTTCAGTCTCTGCTTTCATAAAATTCTATTTAAAATTAAAACCTAAACTCAGTTGCATAACAGAACTAATGGGCCAAGGCCTGCAGTGCCCGAAATCTGATTTCTTGACTGTGGGCCCCAGAGTGCGTAAGAATATTATCTGAACAAGTGGTCAACTTGTTGCAGGACCCCCAATGTTTAGTTACCAAGCGAGCTTGGTACTCATTTTATTGACCCAAGAGATGGAAATCAAAGGATGAAAGGCTAAGTCGACCTTGCCCAGCCCGGTAATCTAACCCCGAACCTGTGGTGCTGCTGTGTGATGCACTAGCCACCGCGCCTTAAACTTCTATTTATGAAAGTAATATTTACATTATTAACTAATATATACTGGAAAACAAAAAATCTAACGACTGCATAAAGGTGGCTATGCCACCCAGGGAATTAACCCCCCCCCCAAAACAAAAAAGGTGAAGAGAGAGTTTTTTAAATTTTTTTTTCTATTTATTTATTTTATTATTTTCATACAGGATATATAAAATTAAATTCTGATATCTGCTGTTACAGCAAATGAAGAAATGTTTCACAGTGATAACAGTTGTTTTCTACTGACTACAAACGGCAAACTTAAATAAACAGAAAAAGCTCCAGATTAGCAGAACTAAAATATTAATTCTAAATATTATGCATAAAAACTAGCATGCATCTTCTATTTCATGTACAGAACCTAACCATATTATATTTTTTGACAATTTTGATTTAAAAAAAACGTCATTATTAGCAGTCTTATAATAATTGCAGTTAGTAATCCATCGATGAATTTTAGAAAAATTATCAAATATCAGTATATTAAATTAAGATTCTGCACAAACATTTGGAAGGCTAGTTTCTGATCTTACCTGACAGTGCAAAAATCAAAATTCTACAGTGATTATTTTGATTATTAAGTAAGGCTATGAGTGAAAAATCTATGAAAAATCTCTAACACATTAAGTAAAAATCTGATGGGGAAACCACTACTTCCTCTTACGACCTTTGAAATTATACACATTTTTTTTCCTGAATTTCAGTTAAACTTATTTCCTAGAATTATTCTAATTTAATTAACTGATCCCTCATGGAAAGTTAAGGGAGAAAGGAGAATTGCATATTTTAAAATTAAATACCCCCAGCCAATTTCTGTAGTATGCGAATCACACTTGCACTTTTATTTTTTCATAATGAGTACAGTCAAAAGTCGTTAATCCGGACTCGTCGGGACTTCGGCGATTCCGGATTATAGATCGTCAGTTTAAATCTGGTAAAATGGCATGCAGAAATTATAAAATTAAAAATATGAAACCATAATTTACGAAATAAATAACAATTATGATCTAAAGGGTATCAAAATTTACAAAAAAAAAAAAAAAAAAAAAAGCTTAATATTTATTTGTTTACTTTATTAAACATTTCTTTCAATGTAAGTTGTTTAAGTTGCTTCATTTTTTATGTGATAATACATTCTCTTTAATTCTATAAAAGACATAATTTCGTGTTCAGTTACAAAGTTCCGCTGTTCAAGTCCTATAATTGCTGTGCCGAGAATACCGACTAATTGTCAATCGAAATTTTTTCGTTTTCAATAACCTCTGTTACTTTCTTCGCTATCAGAAGCGAATTATAATGACGAGGCATTTGATTTAAATCATATCAAAGACGAGTACATCGAGATGAAATACTACATTTGAGTAAGCAATTATAAGCCAAATAAAAATAAAACATCTGCCCTTAAGTTAAGGATAGTGCTGACAGATCAACTTCCAATTCATTGCCGCCTAAAGATAAACAATGTTTAGATAACAAACGTAAAGTTTAGATAAACAAAGGATATGCCTTTATTTATTTTTTGCAGCAATTCCACTTTTTGTTTAATGGACTCCGAAAGATACTTTCGCTTTGTATATCCTTTACATATTAGTAAATATATATCGGAAATTCTATTTGAAATAATCGAAAGTTCAAGCTTACTTTTATAAAATTGCTCTAACAGTCTGCAAAAAATAATAAGCCGGATCCAATTCGAAGATTAAGGAACAACGCAATCTGCAACATTAACTGAAATAGATAATCAGATAATTTTAGCTTAGCTTATCCCGTGCGTTACACATTAAACGCGCATTCGTAAACATATTTTGCACATGCCCACATGCAAATTCGCAGCCGTAAAGGTCTTACGGTTGCGAAGACCGGCTGCGAAGCTGTAAAGGTCTGCGCATGCGTCAATGAGACGCATGCGCAGAAAGTTTGTAGCTTTGAGGTCGGTATTATGGGTGTCCGAATTAACGACTTTTGATTGTATAAACTTTCCCAAATATAAATACATGACCCAGGAGATCATATTAAAAATTAGATTTCAATATTTGACCAAAATAAAGCATGGGTAAGGAAGTAGGGGTACCAAAATTATATATATATATATATGTACTACAACTGCAATAAAATAAGATATTATAGTAGTTTCATATACAAGGTTCAATACATTCATATACAAGATCAAGATTATACAGCTAACTGTTTTTGAGTTATGTGAGATGTATATCTACACAGGTCATGAAAAAATCCATTTTGAATCCAATTTACAATTTGTTTCAGAATAAAGATTTCTATGCGTACAGATGCCATGCAAAAAAATAGTAAAAAGAGATATTTTTATTGAAATCTGATAACCAAAATTTTTCATGATTACAATACTTCCTGTATTTTGTACAAGGAAGTAAAATGCCTGTATAATATTTGGGGGGAAGGGAGGAATCAATATGAAATACTTTATTATACTCACAAGAATGTATGTGTGAAAATTTCAAGAAAATGCGCTCAATAAAAGTGGGTTCAAAAACTAATTTCAAGATTTGATCTCTTAAATAATTAACTGACAAACAGGGAGAGAAAATATATGAAACAATGTAATGAAAATAAAATACAGATATATATATATATAAAGTTTGATTTTGTTTTTAAATTATTCAGTTTGTTCAGAAATATATAATTTAGAGGAATGTCTCACACAAGGGTTGAATTTGGCAGTTCTGGAATACTAATTGTTTTCTATGTGTTTCTCAGTTTAAGATGCTTCCTGCAATATAATTAATATTCATCAGATGCTAAGAAAAAAAAATAACTTTCTAAGTGCACCATTTTCATTAGTTTTTTCTTTTTTTTTTTTTTAAATACATGTAATGAGAAAGAAAAGGCTTATTATACATTAAAATTTATTATGATAAAATTCATGTTTTTTTTTTTTTTTTTTTTTCATTCTGCAGGAATGTTTGTTGCTAAAAATCTGGAAAAAGTAAAACCAATGAGTCAAAACTGAATTACAAGTGATGTGCAAAAAGAAAGTTGGTTAGTTGGAAGTACAGAGTTTGCAGAACAGTGGTTCTACATAGATATAAACAGTGGTTTAAGGTCTAACTGGACTAAAAATAAAAGGATAAAGTCTGAATGACAAATCATGTTTAATGACAGATTTCCTGCATGTGTTTGGGAGGGGGGGAATCATGGATCCTGTCCAGTCTGTTAACACACACATCAATTTCTGAGGTAAAACTCCAATTTTATCAAATGAATAGTTTCAAAAATAGACACCAATATTAACACGAGTTTACATAACATCATACTTAATTTGGTCAAACTTTATAAGATAAAGGCAACTGATCAAGAACAGGCGGATGTATCCAAATTTTGCCTAACCTCTAATGCCTTAAAATGCAGGATCAACAAGAAACATTCAACAAAAACAAGAGGTACAATGAAACATTCAAGCCTGAATGAATTCAGACAGCTTATATCAGAGGAATGTATAATGCTATAGGATACTTTTTAATATATATAAATTAGGCTTTTTAATTGAAATAAAAAGACTACAAAGAACAGAAAAAAATTAATCTTTTTATTAATAATTAATAAAAAGATATAATTTTAAGAATTATAGCACATAGCAGAAAGAAAATGCTAGAAATTAAAACCTATCATAATAATAATAATACATAAATAAATAAAATTACCTTATCATACTGACAAACAACAACATTCTCGGTGTCAAAAGGCTGTAGATAATCTCGTCACATCATATCTGATTAAAGGTTCTGTGCATAAGATAACAAATTTGATCAAATAATCTGAAGATTAGCTTCATATATGTTTTATTCAGTGTAACAATTTAGCTGAAAAAAGTATTTAAAACTATCTGATATCAGTATTATCACTAAAAGTTAATAGGTAATAATTCTATAGCAAAGCAAAATGAAGAAATTAATATACTTTAAAAAATAAAATGCTTAATTTAACAGAATAGTAACCATTTTTTAAAAAATATATAACATACTATTTTTCTTAAATTATCTTCAACCATTTATTACATTCATTACTTTACATAAACAACAACAATATTAAATTTGCATTAACAAACTGACAACATATTAATATAAAATAATCAATACCACAGAATCATTTGGACAAACTTGATATGCCTGGAAACAATTTTTGCAGGAATTTCAAGCAATCATTAATTGTTTTGAAATAGACCTATTTTTTAACACGAGAAAAAAGTCGAATTTTATCTAGCATAATGTTGTTATTCTATTAAAAAAAATTTTTTTTGATGCAATTATAATGAAAATGCATTAATCATATTCAAAAGCAAATTCTTAAAACTTGTTCATCATGTTACCTCATCTTCTTCTCCAATATCATCCTCATTTTGTTCATCATCATTATCATCTCTATCATCATCATTGTCTGGAAAATCATCTTCATCATCCTCATCACTTGTGTCCTGTGTCCCATCAATTTGGCCAATAACACTAGCCTAGAATTCAGACAAATCAAAGATTTGAACGTCAGTAGAAATAACACAATATATAAAGTCAGCATTAATATTAACTGACATAAATGAACACAAACCTGTGACTGTGGAGTTGTTACAGGTATAGTAACAGTAAACTGTTGAGCATTCTTTAACTGCTCACTAGTTAAAGTTTGATAGTGAACTCCTGTTATTTGCTGACCACCTAAAAATATTCAAAATATGTTCATTTTACAAATACACATATACATATAAACAAACAGCAAGATTAATTTAAAAAAAAAACTCAAATATAATGATATTATGGATTTAAGAAGAATCTGAGTGAAAATGTGAAACTAGGAAAAGTAAATAGTATCAGTAAGTTTCACTTACACATATGTTCATACTACAATTTCAATTAATAATACTAATCAGATTAAAAAATATAGTATTTAACCTAATAAAATAAACAACTGCAATAATAACAATGGGTGGAAAGGTCCAATAAGTAATCTGTCCCTTATGTTTTATTACAGAAATGGTTAACTGGTGACCTGTAGTGAGATACACTAGCTGAGCCTCTTTTCTGGTCAAGGCTTTGGTTAAAAATTTTTTTATTATTGACTGCAAACTCTTAACTATCTTTGAACACATTTAGGACATGTTAAAAACATCAGCAATATCACTGACTAATTTTGGTGACTTTGTCAACAATATTAGCAAAGCATAGTTTGGTGAACATGTTCCTTCAAAAGCACCTGTAGCATTAACACAAATTTATATTACATTAAGATTTAAGAACATCAGTCATGTTCTTTAAGTTTCCATGGTTCTAGAGATGATTTTAATCTTCTGCGAGTCATTTTAAAGAGGTGACATTCAATACTATTTCTTAGTTGAAATTATATTTAATATCATTGTATTTGGGGATTTGCCATCTTTAGGTTTGTGTTATTTGATTATGGAAGCACTATCTGCCTAAAGGATGAGTTTGGTTTGGTTTGTGTAATTATGACAAAGCCTCAAGGTCTATCTGCCTAAGGGAAGGGATGTCTTTGTGGAGCACTTTCTAAGGGAAACTGGCTCGTATAACGTTACACATGGGGAAAACCACGAAAACGCTCATGCAGCCAGCCCGTTCACGGGATTCGAACCTCAGAACAAACTACCAGCCTAAAGGATGGGATGCCTTTCGAAAAGATACTGGTTATGAAGTTTATTTGAAATTAATAAGGAATCTAGAAATTTGTCAACAATATCTGTGGTTTCAGTTGATTCTGATCTTCAGTGGAAATGGTCACTTTAAAAAGTTGATGTTCAATACCACTGCAGTTTCCTCTGTATACTGCAATTATCAGCTATTTTACCCAAGGTATTCCAGCTTTTGCATGTATATGCCTCAGAGGTGGGTAGCATTAAATGGTTCTACACAGCTAGTCCCATGAAAGGTTAAGATTGAAAATAAGAAAAAAGGGTGTGATCGTATGTCACATAGACTTCATGAAGATATCTGACTGGCTATGAAGATTTCCAGGCTTTACACAGAAATATACAAAATGGCAAGCAAATACATAAAACGCAATGCAGTAAGAAATGAAAAAAAAAAAAAAGTATTCAGAATACAGTCCTTGAGAATTTCAACATATATACAATGTTTACAATATGATTTAACACAAAGAATGCTTGTACAGCAAAAGTCCATAGTCAAATGATGTGAACTTTTAAATAAGTGTAATCACTACTGAGCTTGTTTGATTTCAGATGAAAAACATGTTTGCAGATCATCAGATTAAAATAAACACAAATGCAAGGAGAGACAATATACAAATCATTCATTATACAATCATTAGCAAGGCAAGAAAATTAAAAAGTTTCATTGACTGGTGATGAAGTTACAGACACAATCAGCAAAAAGTCCGCTGCAAATGTGGTGCAGAAAATCAATAACTTAATTCACAGTTCATAAAAATTTGCAAAGTCCATCTTCCTTCAATCTTTAGTATCATTACATAGGACAATTTTTATTTATCATATGTGCTCTGACTGGGCAGAGGGGTCTACCTTCATTTAGCATTTCGTAATGAAGCACACTGAAATATTTCAAGTGCTCACAAGTGAGAGTGTTCTTGAAAAAGTTTTGGTTGATTTTTGAAGAAATTTATCCATAAGTCAGGTTTAAATCGTCATGTAAAAGCTTGTTTCTTACAAAGTAATTAGTCATAAATCTAAGGAACTTGCTTTGCACAGTTTGGAGTTTCTTTATATACCCATTTTAATTACTGTGGCCCAAGCAGGTGATGCATAATGTCATAACAGGGTGCATTACTGAGATGTAAAGTAATTGTTTTCTAGATAGATTACATTTGAAGTATTTACAATCATTAACAGTAAGCACTTCATAAATTTTGTAGTTTTGTCTTGACCTGCTGAATATGGTGGGTCCAAGTCAAATGCATTTCACCATTTCTCTTACGATTACCCTCAGATACTTTACTTTCTTCATGATAGATACTGGTTCGTCAAATATATAAAGATTTTTCTTTATATGGATTGCTCTTTTTCTACTTTTGATAAGAAATAATCGGGACTTTTATGCATTGACGCACACTTGTCACTTGCTACACCCGCCTTCTATGATACGGATATTATTTTGCAATTTCCTAATAACATGATTTATGTTTCACCGCAAAAGCAGTGCCACCTGCATAACATACTAGCATAGAAATGTGCAGACAGATGGTCTTAACCTTTTAACTGTCATGCCCGAGATTATCTCGGGCACAGCACTGGTGTTCGAAAATGTCACGCCCGAGTATTTCTCGGGGTAAATTTTTTTTTTTTGAGTGATGATGTCATACCCGAATATATATCGGGAAATGTTTATTTCGGCTACATTTGGTTTTTCCAATAAAAAAATTTGACAATTTGTGTACCCAAATCATCAAAATAACTTGACAAAGGGTTAAGAAGTCTGTAATACAAGAGGTATAACATGGGTCCAATTTGGAACCTTGCAGCATGCCGGCTTGATTATTCCTTTCAATGGAATGAGTATTTAACTTTCTGTTTGAGAGAGAGGAACTCTTGATCCAGGCCGAAGTCGATAGGCTTGTAAATAAGTCCCTTATGCTAGGATGCCGTTGAAAGCTTTTGTCATGTCCAGCATTGAGGAGTGAAATAATTTATAGTGCAGTGCAGCACTGGCAAACTTTGTAATGCAAACCAGCTGCTTGGTTGTATATATATATATAATATATATCAAGCAAGGTAGTAATTACAAGATTGAATAACCAATTTGGTCTAATATATATATATATAGATATACATGTATGTGTGTATATATATATATAAAAAGTTTAATTCTTGACTTTATTGCTTGTTTCTCAAAAGACTTCACTAGTATTTTCCTTTTTGAACTTAATTCTTAAATGTTAATTTCTAAGGGGAACCACTTTTGGAATTACTTTTGGTTTTGACTTTTACCCTTGCCTGCATGAATGACGAAACCGAATTAAATATTGGAGATTTAGGTTGGAGGCAACTTCCCCTTGATAAGTCTGTCCCTGCCTACTCAACGGTCATTCACATATGCATTTAAAAAAAAAATGTTTAATTTAATTTTAATTTATTAAATTAGTAAATTTATTTTCATGGATTGATTTTGCACTGATTTGCTTATGCTTCTGAATTTAAAGATATTGTAGATTAGTTCGAGTATTAAATCTTTTATATGTTTGCACATTTTTTTAAAAATTATTTGGCTTTTTTTTTTCCTTTTTTAGGATTTAAATTTGTTTTTTTTAACTTTATACGTATTGTTAAAATTAAATTTAATTTGTTAAATATATATATATATATATTCAAACTGCTGAAGGAGAAAGCAGATGGAAATAAATGTTAATTTTTCTTAGTTCAAAATGTTTTTCAAGCCCTGCTAAAAGGCTGATGGGCCTGTACATCAGGATAATTTTAGCAATTTTTCAGATGTTGGAGAAATAGCAGCACAAGGCATGATTTTATAATACTTGTACACTTTCAAATAATGTTTCTTAGAAAATTTCTTATTGCTGTATTCAAATAGTACCAATACTTAGAGCTTTCCCGATTCTGATTTCTAACAATGTCCGCAACCTCAGCAGATATTTGATAATAATGTTTGCGCTCTCAGTAATACTGGTTCACTTTGAGATGCAAACAGTTGGCTTACAAAGATCATCTCCATGAGAAAGTACACTGCATTGTTATACGCAACCAAATGCATGGCTTATGGCCTCAGGACATTAAGTTAAATTAGCCCTTGAGTGTATAGAAGTTGGTCACCGTTACTGCAAGTCCAAAAAAAATTCCACGGCTTCAAATAACAATTTTTTAAATATATATTTGAGAATGGTTTGAATGATGCAGATCATTTTCAAAAGATTTTAATTAAATTTTGACCAGATTCATGATGAAAGTACCAACAGAAACTATTTGTTTTGGCTATTAATAGTTCTATACTGGAAACACAGCACTCGATAAAATGCTCCATCACACTATTGATTACTAAAATCTCCATGAATTTTGCGCACTAAGATATGGAACATTTTGTATTCAACTTACCAAAGGAAGTTAATCTAGGTTAAATATTCAAGAAAATAAAGCCTGTAGAATTTTTTTAAAACACCTTGTAAATAATGTAAATTCTTATTCATTAATTATCTAATAGATCTGTTTCTTTTTAAGACTTACACAAACATCATTTCAGACTATTATGCACCTAAATAAACATATTTTTTTTAAGTAATTTTTATTTACTATTTTATGACATCATTTACGTTACTTTTCCAAATACCCAGGTAATTTATCTTACCGATTCAAAAAATGACTAATTTTGGTGAATTTTGTCTTTATTGAATATCCAGAATTTGAATCATTAAACTTTGAAAATAAAAGGCAATACATGTAAGTTAAACTTTTTTTTAAATTTATTGTCTCATAAATCAAGAAGAGACATTAAATAAACAAGAATGATATATATCAGTATTAGAATTATATAATCCATCTAAAAACTTTTGGAACCTCACTGGCTATAATTTATTCACAATAAAATCATAAAGTTCACTGTTTTTTCCTCCAAACAATTCTACAATAATCAAGATATTGTTACGAAATGTCCAGCTGCGGTAAGCTAGCTTCCCCACAAGGTGGGTTTAGGGTTGCCAGAAAATGGCAAGGTAAGGCAGAATTGTCATATTTGGCGACATGCCATGGATGGACAACCCTTTAGAACAAATTCTTACCGGTTTGGACCAGAATGTTCTTGAAGGGAACCCAAAAGCTATACAAACCCTGCCTGCACACGGAGTAGCAGCAGTCAGAATGTCTTATTTGATCGTCAATCTAGTGGCGAGTTGGTGGTTGACTGTATTGCGAGTTGCATCGTTGAGGCTATCGAGTGTATTGTCGAATGTATCACGAGTTGTACCGTGGACAGTCTCGAGAGTACGTAGAGGTCTGAGAACGACTAAACCGAGTTGGAAGCCATAGTGTGGTGCTTTGCCGTGAAGCTGTCTTCACCATTATAGCTTGAAGGTTGTGTTGCTGATTGTTTCAGCGTACTTGTCGTAGTTTTTTTATTACTGTAAACATGTTTTGGAGCTGTCCTGGATAAAACTGGCTAATAAATTGTGTTTTGATACTTCATCAAGTGTCATTGTTAATTACTCCAAATCCATGAACCCATAAAAAAGCAACAATATCACATACTTTGCTTGAATGCACACTAAATACATAAGGAAAAAGATAATGTATACCAACCATGCTGTAAATTGCTGGAATGAGTTGATGCAATTACATTGCCTTGAAACAAAGATGCTAGTTCAGGTGGAAGTTGTACAGCTGTAGTTCCAGGAGCAGTCTGAAATTTAAATAGTAGTAAAATATTAGAAGATGTTAGGTAATAAATTCTTTTTTTTTTAATTTAATTATTTTTTTTTAAATTAACTGCATAATGGATAACTAAAATTTGAAAAATAAAAATCCATTTCTCAGAAATACATTAAAAAATAAATAAATAAAAACCACCACTTGATTAATGGGATAAATCAATGCAATTCAAGAAAATATTTTACTCTATCACTATAGTTGGTTTCTATGTTTTCCTACATTCAATTATTATCTTCAAAGATATAATTTTTCTCATTGAAAAGTTATATTCATTAGTCAACTGACATTATTTGACTTAATTATCCATTTTTAATTAAACTTTCACAAGAATTATTTATAGAATGAATTAGGTTTTGGGATACATCATATAAAAGGGACTCTTCAGAACAAAAGATCCAAGCTATGCTATACTAAACAATTTTCTTTATCCACTTATAAGTGTTTAACAATGCACAAGTACGAGGGCCATCCAGGAAGTAGATTACGTTTCCGTCTGTGTCCGCTAGGGGCGGGGCTAGCGCGGCCATCTTGGGGTCAGAGCGTTGCGCAGCTCAGTCTGCATCTAGCCGTGCTAGTGAGAGGTTCGTGCTGTGCTCCGTTCAGATACTGTGACGGTTTGAAATGTCTGCGTTAATTGAAAATCCCGCGAGCTGCGAGGTGCGCTCAGTAATAAGGTTTCTGACTGCAAAAAACTGTAACCGATAGAATCTATCGGCAGCTTCGTGAAGTGTATGGGGACATCATTATCACTGAAGGTGGAGTGCGTCTCAGTGGGTCATAAGATCTCAAAATGGCCGAACCAATGTTCACGACGAAGATCGAAGTGGGAGACCCAGCATAGTGGACCGCCGAGCTTCTCGAAAAAGTCGATGCTAAAGTCCGTGTGAAAATCGAAATTTCACAATAACGGAACTTTCTTTGAGTTTTCCACAAATTTCGCGAAGTTTGTTGCACGAAATCATCAGCGAAAAAGCTTGGTTACCACAAGTTTTGTGCAAGATGGAAGGCAAGAAGAGGTAACGAAGTGGTTGAAGGCGCAGGCGGCCGAATTTTTCGACGAAGGAATTTCCAAGCTCGTACATCGCTACGATAAATGCCTTAATTTGTATGGTGACTATGTAGAAAAGTAGTATTTGAGTGTGGCTTTCATCTGTATATAATAAAATTTGTTTCCTATACTTTGTTTATTTTTTTATTCCAAAACGTAATCTACTTTCTGGATAGCCCTCGTATAATAATTTTAGTATTAATAATGCTAGAAATATCTACTCATGCAGAAGTATTTAAGTTATTCTATATTTCTATTAACTTACATATTGCTTATATAATAAATATGATACTACACACACTGCATTAATAAATCACATATCTTTGAAATTGAAGAATTAAGGTGCAATTCATGAAAACAAATTCATTATATGTTTTAAGTGAAATACTAGAACAAAATATAAGACTAAAATGAAGATGCAATGTTAAAAATAAGATTTCTGCATTTTGGAAAACTTCTAAAATTATACTTACGACTAAAGTCTGTAAACCTGATTGAGCAAGGTGGGCAGGCACAGTAAGAGTTAACTTTTGAGGTAAATTTAATGCCATTGTTTTTTGAACATCACCCTAGAATACAGCAGTAGTAAAATAAACATTTATTGACCAGAAAAGTCAGATCTCAAATTAACTAAGGTATGGAGAGCAAATCATAATATATAATTCATAACCACATAGTTTAAATTACATAAATATAATGAACTTTGTTACATTACAGATATAAACTAGTGTACAGTCAATTCTTGGTTAAATGGAATGCAGATTAATGGGATCATATTTTTTTAAGAAAAAGTTTAAATTTGTTCACTGCAGAATGACAGAAAAATTACTGTCACAAACTATAAATGTTAAACAAAACTGTCTACAAAAAAATCTGATGTGTACACCACATGACTTCCTTGTACAGAATATTAAATTTTCTTGCATTTCGTTTAAATTTATTGGATTGAATTAAATTTACTTTGCCAACAGCGCATAAACCACAATAGAATAAATCCATTCTAGGTTCACTTAACAGTATTATATTTCGTTCCTATTATAACTCAGAATGCACAAAATTTATATCATTTAAAGAATTATCTAATCGTTGCCACATGTTCTATTCAAATACTATAATAAAGCTAGAATGATGTATAAAAGAAATTAAACAAACAAAACAAAAAAGAAACAGTTTTTCACAGATGATTTAGTATTTCACATTCAATTAATTCAGTTCTCACCTCGCGACAAGGCAAAAATACATAAACTCAAAATATCTGTATTAAAAATTACAAAGTAAATCTTAAACACTTATTTCCTCAAAAAATTTTCAGAAAGGATTAAGCATGATTTAATTCGCAATAATAAATGAAGGCATTATCTTTGTTGCTGCGAAGCTACGTTTCTCTAGCTTGGCAACAAATCCACTATTCTGCTGTTTCAAATGTAAACAAGCAATGGCCACCATCAAAAAAATTATTAGGCTTAGCGGCACTTAAACAACTTTAAAATTGTTGATAACTCTAAAAATATTGCTAACAGATTTACTAAAGGCATAAAAACCTTAACCGGAAGATAAGAACAACATAATTCAATCATTTTTAAAGCAAAAAATATACAATTTACAAACATATAAGTGTAAAGAAACTGAGATCACTGAGCCAGGTAACAGAGTGGATATGTATATAAATATATTTATATACGTTTGGTGCGGTTGATTGCAAAAAAAAAAAAAAAATATGAGGTGCACATCTACATGTTATACTAGTCCTATATACAAAATTTCAACGTTCTGAGGCTACTGGTTTTTGAGTTATGCGAGATACGTACGTACATACGTTCGTACAGACGCCACGAAAAATTCTCTTCAGAATTCATTTTAAAGCAGTTTTATAATTTTTTTGGAGGAAAAGAGTCTTTTATTCTGTCCTTACATACAGATATCATGCAAAAACATCGTTAAATTGCATTCGAAAGCAGTCAAAATGGATATTTTCGTTGAAATATGCTGCCTGAAACTTTTCACGATTACAATACTTCCTTTTTACTCTGTACAAGGAAGTAAAAATACAAGAAGGAATAGAAAAATGCAATGGATAACATTAGTGAGAACAGTAATTTAGTTTAATCATTTCTAAAGATGTTTATTATTTCATCATTTACAGCATGGCATTTTTGTTTTGAATGTTGATTAAATTTATATTATTAAAATAACTTACTCCCTAGATCAAACTGCTTGGACATGCATGCAAATTGTTAAAAATATTTTTCTACTAATTATAAAATGAATCATTACCCTTTCATATGTTTTTTTATTTATCTTTATGTTAACTGTGATTTTTAGTTGATTGTGGATGCTATCCCCGATATTAGCCCAGTTTATCAAGAATTGATTGTAATATATAAAATTACTCTGTGATGTATATGCCTAAAACAAAACAAAAGCTGACAGAAAAATAATGCTTAGCCTTTTAACAAAAACGGAATTGTTTTTTAAAGGAAAGCCTCATGTTTTATAAGAAAAAAATATGTACTAGGTTTTTCTTATATTAGGGAAAAAATTACTCATTTTAGATTACTTTACATATAAATAAAAAACAGTGTGACCCATTCACAAGAAGAAATATGAAATAAGGTATGTAAACAGTCCTGAAAACAAGGATTAGCATTTGAATGATCTATTCAAATTGGCAGATTTTGCTACGAGAATACTGGAAAAAAAAAAATCATTCTTTTATCACAACAAAAAAAACTTTCGCTGTTAGTTTCATCTTTTATAAATAAACACACCATGCTTTAGTGATAGCCAAATTAATAAACTACATAGAAACTTATCTTATAGTAGTATTTCAGTTTTTGTGTAGGTTTTACAATAGGATGGCTAATAGCAGTCAAACTCATACTGGTAACTTAGACATACCCTGCCATGTACAGACTTCACGTTAATTTGCCAACTGCTCATACAAATGTTCCTGTTGATAATAATTAAAAAAATAGTAATAATTCAGAAACAAAACAACTATTTCGGCAGTTCAAAGAAAGGAATCACAGATTCAGAGCAATCAATATTTCTTTACTTGTAGTCATTAAAAAACTAAAAGTCATAGTAAAAAAACATTTTTTTTTCTTTTTGTTAATTGAATCTTTTTGTTAATTTCTGTTAATTGTTTTTTTCTTTGATATTTCCTACATGTAGAAATCAACCCACCCACCAACACACACATATAGCCTTACAAAAATTGTGGTTTGTATTTTAACAGAAATATAAATATAAACTGCTTCTTTTTAGAACATTTTTACAGAATTCCAATTATAAGGATATTACTCCAAGGATAATTGATTAATAAGGTCAATAAATTCGATGCTTACTAGAAAAAGCAAAAGGTAGACCATTAAGAAAATTATTTCATGAATGTAATGCAGATAAAGGTTATTATTTAAGAAAATTTTCTATATGCCGATTACTATTCAAGTTAAAATATTTAATTATGGAAATCAGTTTGAATACACAAAAATAAACAGGAAAGGATTACATACCGAAGCAGGAGTAGTATATTGCAGCAGTGTCTGTGGAACTAGGTTTGTGGGAGGCATAGCTAACTGATGAGTAATAGAAGCTGTAAAAATGTTGAAACAATATCAAATTATTGCAGACAACAGCAGATTTAAATTTTAAACACAGAATTTCAATAATTCAAAATTTTTGTGAATTTGAACAAAATGTTTTCGAGTATATAAACAATTAAGGTATTTTCTGCACATTCATGAAAAGTTCTGATTCATTAGCAGGAAACATTTCTTTGCTATCTTTATGGCTCATAAGCACTGTTCGGTTTTTAAATAAGAGATTTTATAAGGAAAAAATTTTCTATACGGTCAATATATAAATTTTTATACATGGTAGATAGAACAAAATATCACTTTTCTAATATCCAATGCTTTCTTTCTTATCTGCCACTTTTAAATACTCTGTTCATGATTATTATGTTTTAAAGGGGGTGAAAGAAACACAGATCAGTGAAATAACATATATAAAGTGTGTATATCCACCTGTACTCAAACATGTGTTTAGTACACATACTTGTGTTAGCTTTTGTCTCATATGTTCTCTCTGATTCATTAGCAGGAAACATTTCTTTGCTATTTTTATGGCTCATAAGCACTGTTCAGTTTTTAAATAATAGTAAAAAGCAGCATTTTTATAAGAAAAAAATTTTATAAGAAAAAAATTTTCTGTACGGCCAATATATAGATTTTTATATATGGTAGATAGAACAAAATATCACTTTTCTAATCCTAATAGAATACTCATTTTTAATCAGTATAAAAATAAACATGGTACATTTAATTGCTTAGGATACAGAGAACAGAAGCTGGTCCATTAATTGTTAATTAATATTAATTTATCTTAGTGTTTGTATGTGTGATTTAATGACAGCAGATTCACCCATCCTGCAGAGCCAGACTTCCAGCTACCATCATACTACTTTCATACAAAATAAAAATTTTCTAAATAGTACACACACATTACAAATATAAATATATATATATATAAGTTATAACTAAACAGGCAGAAGAAATTGAGCAAAACAATGTTGAAGAGGATATATCCTAGTTCAGATGGAAATATTTGTTTCAAATAATTATGAGGTTTCAGATAATTTGTATAAAATCAGAAATTAAATGCAAAAACAAAATAAAAATGAAATCATAATTTCAGCAGTACTTAGCATGTTAAAATATAGAGTACAAATATGAAAATTAGAATATTGTAAATTTTTGTGATTTTTTACAGCACATCAAGATAAATAATTGTTATGGAAAAATTTTTTATTTGCAATATTCTGTGCGAAACTAAAAGCTGGGTAAGTAAACTTTTAAGTTCAGTTTACAAGGTGGAGGTGTGTGTGTGTATATATACTATATAGTATATACATTTAACATATTGCACATTTTTTTTTAATATTAATAGTCATCATAATAGGTTACGATGCTAAACAGCATGGTAACCTTTTATGATGACATTAAGCTTGATGATGAATACAGACTTCATCTAACTATATTGCATGTTAAGTGTGTTTATGAGTAGAAATCTAATAAAAATTTCTTGCCATACACTAAAAACAGGTTTTGCAAATGATACTCATAGGCCAAAAGATTACATTTAGTGCTGTTTGAGATGAGAATAACTGATTTGTTATTCAGATAAGCCCAGGATCAGTGTCAGAGCTGGTACGGCCGCTATACCCAGTTTAGGAGAGGCAAAATGTTTTAAATTTAAAGAGAAACAACCAAGCAACAAAATTAAGCGATGGCAAAATCTTTAGAATCTAGAGAAAGTATTGACATGCAAAACTTATGAACAGCAATATTTTTAGAATTTAGGAAGCATCTGTCAGTATAATTTTGGACAAGCAGACACTGCACCAGGTTGCAAAATGGCAACGCTTACCGTGGTATGCCTACGTATATGTGAGAATTTATTTAATTGACACTCAGCTTTAAGCATGCATGAGAAATAGGTAAGATTATATAATAAATAATTAAGCTAATATAATTCCTACCATAACAGCAAGACTAAAAATTAGTGGAACAACATGTCTTTAAGTGCCAATCTCATGATACATCGCCAAAAGCATATAGCAGATTCTAGTTATATGATGATAGCCCCAAATTTCGAGGTTTTTAGATATTGCAAATAAAAAGTAAAATTTTCTGGTTAATCCTGCTGCACAGTGTGCCCGGTCTTAACACACCTAAAAATTTCCTTCTGTACGCACATAAAATTTGAATGTAAAACGATTTATAGGTTACTCTGAACCTTCTTTATTTATAGAAGATGGCAGCTCAACACAAACCAGTCCATATATTTTAGCCATGTTTAATTTTTTAAGATACTCATTTTTCAAAGAAATCTTCCAGATTTTTTTTTTAGGGTATAAAAGGAATTGTTTGAAAAGAAATTTCTATGTTATTTTTTTGGCTGGATGCTAATCTCCTTATTCTATATTAGTTTGAAATTTTTACCTTGAAATCTTGCCTAAAATCAAACGGCGAGCCCTAGGTGTGCCTGGACCGGGCTCACCAACAATCTAGGACAACTGAGAGTCTGTATTTTTTGTTTCCGCATCTTATCGGTCAGTTCATTGACAACAACGCTCGTTTCAGCACTCTTTTTTGAAGCTCTATTCAATCAGCGTGCCACATTGAGCACACCAACAGAATTAAAAGATAAGTGCTATCTTCACAAAATTTCACTTGTGTACACCTCTAGGCCAAATTAGACTGCCTACCCCTTTTTTTAAATCAAAACTCCAACTTTAAAAGGTAGCGTGATAGAAAGGGTTAAGGGAATTTGCAAAGAAATGTACAGATGTGCTAATAAATGACGATGATGTAACAGAAATTTTTAATTGCGATGATAATGCTATAATCATCTAATGAATGGCAAAATCAATTGACAATTTAAGGGAATTCTCAACATGGCAATTACAGGACCTGAAGAGTGGAACTTTGTAACTGAACAAGAAATTATGTCTGTTCATAGAAATTAAGAGAAAGCATTAGTGCAATTTTTTGGATAAATTTTGATCCCCTTAAGATCATAAATTCTTCATTATTTAATATATCACTATTTCATATTTGTAATTTTGTAATTTCATCATATCATCTTACTTGATTTAAAATGATCATCTAATATCTGGAAAAATTTTGAATGTGGAATTGCCAGAGTCCCGATGAATTTGGATCACGGACTCTGTACTGTATTTATGAACAGAACAGTATCTGCAAGCCCTAAAGATAGGCCGAAAAAAGGTTTTTTGCCAGTTGCCAAAGAGTTCACGACCTTTTGTGACTTTTTTCAAAATTTGATAGCTCTAAGTACTGTCATTTTTTCACACCGTGAAAAACATACACACATTCATGCAGATTCTTCATTATTTAATTTCTTTAAATATAATACAAGGCAATAACATTTGGTGACAACAATTTGAAGTGATTTAGACTTTCATAATTATTCAATGTAAAATGCTGTTTTGAGGCTAATAGGCCCTTCTGGGCTTTAAAACAAAAAAAAAAAAAAAAAAAAAAAAATTAGCCTCCAAACTTTTTTTGTACAATTCTGAAGTGACTTGTTTTCTAGATCACACAACAAGTAAACACACTTTTGCTTCTGTGAATAATAAAAGAAACTGTAATTTATTTCTTATTTTTTAATGCAATATATATTTTGATTCACAATGAAGCAAAACTTGGCTGTTTTACACTTTTATTCTACTTTTTAAAAGAATTAATGGGCTTCCTTTAAGAAATCAAAAGGTAGATCTATTTAAAACATGTCCAAAAAGTGCTACAAATTATCAACTTTTATCCTCATATTCAAGAAGACATATGTTGTCTCCATCAGAACTGTATTACTTTCTGCTATTATCACTTGATGCAATCTAATTTAAATACACAATTATAAAATTAAAATTTTTTAAACACTTTTTATGTACTGCAGTAATTTTTGTCTTGGACACATATGCAATATTTTCATCTTGCTTTATCATCATTTTTATTAATATCTATAGATGATCTCAGATTTTTTTAAAGCTCAATTTATGATCTCTCATCAGTTTGAATTTTCAGCTAAGAGAATTTCTCCTTAATACAGCAGAATACGCTTGTTTGAATTTTGGCACATGATTTTTTGTTCAAAAGAAACAAAGAAGCTCCTTTTTTAAAACAGTTCATCATTCGACACACGAAGTGTATTCTATATACTAATGTCAAGAAAATAACAATAGAATAAGACAAATGAATCTCCTTCAACAACATTAAGGAAGGCTGTAACCCCACAAATTAATGCTTTGTGCATGATGGAAATACAAGGGAACTACAGTCAAAAGTCTTTAATCTGGACGTCTATAATCCGGACCTCAAAGCTGCGCATGCGTTCACGCATGCACATAATACCTTTATGCATGTGCATAAAACGTTTACGCATGCACGTTTAATGTATAACGGATGGTATAAGCTAAGCTAAAATTATCTAATTATCTATTTCAGTTAATGTTGCAGATTGCGTTGTTCCTTAATCTTCTAATTGGATCCGGCTTATTATTTTTTTGCAGACTGTAGGAGCAATTTTATAAAAGTAAGCTTAACTTTCGATTGTGTCAAAAAGAATTTCCGAATCTGGAGCTGCCAAAGGATCTATAAAGCGAAAGCATGTTTCAATGTCCATCAAACAAAAAGTGGAATTCAATTTCACGCTGCTCTGTGTGTGTGTGGGGGGGTGGGGGGGGGGGGGGGAAACGCGTAATGAACTGGAAATTTATCTGTCAGCACTATTCTTATGCTTTATGCATGCGTGCGTTGAAAGAAATGTTTAATAAAGTAAACAAATAAATACTAAGCTGCTGCTTTTTTTTTTTTTTTTTTTTTGTAAATTTTGATACCCTTTAGATCATAATTGCTCTTCATTTCATAAATTACGGTTTCATGTTTTTAATTTTATAATTTCTGCATGCCATCTTACCAGATTTAAATCGATGATCTATAATCCGGAAAAACCGATAATCGGGAATCGCCAAAAGACTTTTGACTGTACATATTATGAATTGTTGCCACCAAAGTAAACAATTTGATTAGGAAAAATACTGTTCCCAAACTGCAGTTTTGAAAACAAAATTGAAGCTAAGTGCCCATAATTGGACAATACCCTGTTCCACATTTCAATGAATGTCAAAGATTTGTTCAGTATTGCTCAGATGTTTTGTGTCACCTTCTCCCCATATTCCCTAGTTCTTGCCTCGTCAGATTTTCATCTAAATTATTCTTTGTACAGCCAACAATTCACTTCTTTGGAGACTGTCAAACAATACCTCAATACCTTCTTTATGAATAAACCTAAACGATTTTCTTCAGAAAAAGAATTTTTTAAGCTGTAAGAGAGATAGCAAACAATCATAGAACTAAAGACTTAATGAAATTTTATACTAACTTATTGAATAGTGGTTGAATCTTTATAAAATGATCTACAAATATCTCTAGGAGATTATGGCACTTCAGACCAAATAAAATTTAATAAAAAAAATTATGCTGAAATGACTAGAAATGAAGGAATGCAATTTATACAATTTCAGTTTCATTAATTCAATAATTAATTTATTGATGGAACCTATTTTTCTTAATAAAGGCTAAAAATGAAAAACTGGGTGATACTGTGATCTGTCAAGAGACTAGGAGATGTGATGAAAAATTGGTAGTCTCTCCCTAAAACTGAGAGCTGGCAGCTACACTAAATCATATTTATTACAACCTTGACATTTGTTTACTGCTATCAGATGAACTACTGTTGGCAGTTACGGACTTCATGTTCACCTATTAACTGAAATCCAATTAAAGGTGGCTGGCAGCTCAAAATCAAGATTACCTCATTCCAATGAGATTTGCCTTTATTACACAGAAACAGTCAAATTTTTGCACTCATTCTTTCAGCATGTACAGAAAAGAAAGCAAGGGCTGCTTCAAACTCTAATTTTAAGTATTGTGTGAGTAGTTAGACATGATTTTCACATGCAAAAGGTGGAGCAGGTTGTTGAGAAGCAGGACAGACACAGGCCCATAAAGACCAAAATGTAGTCAAAAGTGTTATGTCAAAAATCTGGAAATGATTTATAGACACTGGTGATGTATGCAGACAACCAAGTTAACTTACAGTCAAAAACATGCCACAAAAGTTATTTAGTAACAGTTGCTAAAAAAATGGACAACTTACATCAGACCACACTGCTACAGGAACTAGATTATTCACACATACCAGAATGAAAGACAGAATAAAAGAGGGCTATGTATAAGGATACCTATGATAATGTGTCCCATTAATTTGGACTGTAAAATGCACCCAGTTGCTGTGATGCATCACAATTGGCTTATCACAAGCTGAGGCTGAGTTAGTTTTACAGTTAACTGTTTTCATAAAGAGGTGCACCGGTAATTTGTTTTTTTGAGAATGGTTTTAGATATTACAATCTGAAAAGAGCAAAACACTTGCAAAAGCCTGAAAACATCCATGAAAAGTATCACAAAAAACATGACAGTATCATGATATGAATATACTATACCAGTACATATTACATACTTCCACCAATCCCACTATGAATGCTGAAATATAGAATCATAAGGTTCTTGATACTTAGGTCAAAACAGTTTCATCCTACTGGAAGATAATACACATTCCTATAATGCTACACTAGTGACTGTTTATTTGGAAGGTGATGGAATCTAGCAAACAGAATGACCTGCACATTTTCTGAATTTAAATTCAGTAAAACATATGTAGGATGCACTAGAATAACAATTAGCACCACTGCAGGCTGCAAATAGCACTCTCCAAAAGTTTCAAAGTGCTATTCATCATGAATACACTTTGCTACTATAGGAACTTCTGGACAATCTAATACAGAGCCTGGAAAATTGCTTTAAAGCTTGTATTTTGGTCATATATCTTATTATTTTTGTTCATAGCTTGAAAAAACTGCACCAATTTTTCCCTACCTCACTTTATATCATATAAATCTGTGTTCTTATTTAAATTTATTTTTCGCAGGAATGGGAAATTCTGCATTTTGAAGATATGTCAGGCATAACAAAATGTGCATGTTCCATGCTTTTAGCTGCAAAATCATTCAAATTATAAGAGTTTTTATAATTGCTCCTTTAATTTTTCCTGCCAGTGCATCAGGCCACCTAGCCGGTACAGTGGTTAGTGACGCTGACTGCCATACTGATGGGCACAGGTTCGAATCCCAGAGAAGTCACGGATGTTTCTAAGGGTATAGTGTCTGTGTGGCATAAATACATTCAAAATACATGGTGAGCTAAAAGTTTTCAGCAAGAGAGGTGGTGGTAGGGAAAGAGGGATGACAGACCCTTGAACTTCTCCTTAGGTGCTCTGCCTCAAAATTAAGGCGAAACTGCACAGTTAGTGCGATGGGGCTATACCTATATGAGCAGTGGTGAACTTCTGGTGTTATGCCCATTTCTACCTGAATCTGTATCTAGTAGTACATTATCATAAAGATGAGATAAATTATAAAACATAAATTTTATCAAACTTTTTAATAATTCTGAACTTTTTAAAAACTGCAACATATTTTAAACCCACAAAACTGCAGAAATATTTAACAAACTGTACCCACCTGAAGGACCTAGATTTGTTTGTTGCTGAACTGGCTGAAGAGTTGTTTGAGTAACATTTTTACTCACAGCAGTCTCTGGTTCCCTTTCAATTGCTTTTGATTCATGCAGTTTCTTTTCCCAAACCTGCAATAAATGGTAAAACTACAATCAAATGAAGTAAAAACTACGTTCAAATGAAATTCAAGAACTTACATATACTCCTGATTTAACATTACATTAAATTATGGAATTAATCAGGGATGAGCAAATAATTTTAAACACAGGCTAAGAAGGGTTTTTTAGCACATAATATGGACAGAGCCATGACAGTATTTTGCATTACCTCTGCAGGATGCAGGGGTTGAGAATTCCAACAGTAGTATTTTTTTAAATATGATTACATTAAAAAAATTACATTATATTCTGAAATTAGAATCTGCTCCTACTGGTCCTCAAATAATCAACATATACACCATTTCTTTTTCAAATAAAATTTACAGGTGAAATGGTTTTGTACATAAGCTCCCTTTTGTTATCTGTCATTTTTCATATGTCACTGTTAAATTCCTAAATTAAAAAAAGCTGCTAGAAATAACAAGACTATATTTTTTGGTGGATGCAGTTATCTGACAATTGGCTTTCTACCACATCTAATGTTCTCAGCTTAGGCTGACCACTAGAATAGTAATACGCGATCTACACAATGTAACAACAGACATGGACTCCTGCTGATTTTGATAGTTTGTGTAAAAAATTACAAAGGAAAAGGATGAAAATGTTGTTGCACAGAATTTCACAGCAGGCTGGATTAAGCAATTAGAAGAGTTGCATTCGGTTGGTGGACCCACTTTTGCACACCTTTGTGTTAAGATGTGGATTAGGTCAACCCCCCCCCACAAGAACTGAGAAGCTGATTGTGTATACTGAGGAACTTCACATGTACATTTCACTCTCTTTCCTCCAACTGTGTTATTTTGCATAAAAACTTATAAGTAACAGAATGTTAATGCCACCTTTGGCTTTTATTTATAACTTTAAATAAAATCATTGCAGAAGATAACTAGAGAATGTGGCTGCCTACTAAACTTATAAGATTGTGCAATATACACCTTTAAAAAAAGGAAAATTTAATTTCATGAAAATACCACTTACAGTTCAGATATGTGTTTATTACATCTTTCTCACAATCGCAATGTTCATCATTACAAGTTGAATACTTAAACCACTAATAAAATTGAGAGGTGAGGATACTTAGTTGACAGGAGATTTAGCTGACACGGACATATAGACAAGAGGACATTCTGCCATTAGCACATTTAACTGGCAACCCATACATTTAAACAATAGTATTCAACAGCGTTTTAGTAAAAAAAAAGAAAAATTGAGTTATCTTACAATTGGCTGTTTCTACTGATAAGGTTTTTGGACGGGTACCACATTTTTGTCTTTGATATTAAACATACACAGCATAGATTTTAAAATTAAATCGAAAAACTGCCTTTAGTTATTTGAAATTAAGTGATTCTAGAATGGACACAGACTGCTCAATTTCAGGAAGGGGAATGAAAAATTGCAGCAGTGCGAGGAGCAAAATTATTTTATATGGAAAGCAAGTGGCAGAGCAAAGCAAGAATGAATGTAGAATGATCTGTCAAGGAAAACAGTAATGGAACATGAATCATACTGGTCACTTGTGCAACCATTAGTAAAATTCATTCTTCAGTTCTTAACCCTTTAAAGCTCATGTGCCAGCATGAAGGTGCACTCACTTCCCGGTTCAGAAGCTGGCATGAGAGAGCATTTTCTCGTTCACCCTCGCCTGTCACTCATTCGTGTCGAGTTTTGGAACATTTTAGAAACTCGTATTTTTGGCACAAGATGGCGTTAATGCTCATAGGATTTGAGATACACGTATCTTCTACTTGAAATGAGATAAAGATGACTCACATGCACTTGGATTTTGATTATATAAACATAAGGCAAAGGCAAGTTCTTGATTCGCAGGCTCTTTAAATGCACATGCAGTATTTATTAATAAATGTTAAGGAAGCTCCTTTTTTTTTTTTTTTTTTTTTTTTTTTTTTTTTCTCGCTAGAGCATTGGATGTTTCTTTAAATGCATACGTGGTATTTATTGAAAAATATTATGTTCCCCAGAGTGTTAGGTGTTTGGGTCTGCAGTGCAGGTTCTAATCGTGAAGTATACCTTGTGTATGTGAAATGTTTCTGTTCTGAGCATTACAATGTCAAAATGTTGAACATCATTAACAGATTATGTGAATGTAAATCAAGTTACATCTGCAATGGCAATGCTTCAATCACACTACAGCTAAAATCCTCCAAAAAGGGAAATGAGCTATTATGAATGTAAGGATTGTATGCATATCTCTGCTTTGAAATTTATTACATTAAAAATTAATCTTAGGTAAAATGTTTGCTGTCAATTATATGATGTCAAAACTCACTAACACAGAAGTAAATACTGACAAAAAAATTAATATGTGCAATAAAAATATTTAAACACACACACAAAGAAAACTTAAGTATATAAGTATGTAAATAAAAAAATATACAAAGCATATACACTCTACAGAACATTATTGAACAATGCTTTTATCTTTCTGAAGTTCTCTGGATTTAGGTTTGGAATTAGAAAAATCTCTGGCCCTGTAGCTTGCAAAAGAAAAGCCAGGACCAGCAGTATGTGCTTTTTTGTTTCTTTTCCCCGAAAGTGTTAAAGATCCCATCTCTGGTTTTAATTCTTGTGGAATTTATAATATATCTTGTCAGTGTGGTTTGACACATATAGAGAAATTAAAAGTGTAGTAAATATTTTGCATCAAAGAACATGAATCCTTGGATTGGAAAAGAGTAATAAAGAAATCTTCAATAGTTAATCATACTTGAACTCACAATTTTAATTTTGTTTCTCCAAAAATTATTCATGAAGTTTCTTCAATTTGTGAACTGAATTTTCTTGAACCCTTTCTCATTCACGATTTCTTTTCTCCTTCAGTTAGTGCCATTAATTTCAATCCACTTTTCCTCTCTACTTTCAAAATTCTTAGCTTTTCATCATTCTTGGCACATGTCATGTTTGTTTCCACTTTGCTATTTGCTTTCTGTATAAAATCGTTTTGCTGCTCCCACTGCTGAAATTTACTTTTGCCCCCCCCCCTGAAATAGAGGGACTTATGTCAAATTGCCCTCGGAATTGATTTCAAAATCTATGCCAACCTAAAGGTATAAATTTTATATCTAATTTTAAAATCTACACTGTGATAGCAGTATATAAAGGCACAACCCATAAGCCTTCTTGTTGTGTACTCTCAAAACAGCCTTTATGTCAGATAAATATGGGAAATTTTATTTATATACTAGCGGGCAAGATTCGTCAGATGAGCGGCATGCAGCCAAAGAAAATTTGTAAGTTCTGTGTATCCCTGAAAAGCAAATGCATAAAATCAGTTCATTCTTTCCAACCAACAACCAATCCATAATTTTTTTTTTTATTGACTAGCCAGGAAACAATAACTTTTGACACTTCACGTTAATGCTTATGGCGCCATGATTTAAATTTAATGAAATATAACATCTCAGTATCAATAAAAGAATTAACATGGCAACAACATATCGTATCAATTATACTAACTTGAAACAAAAAAGTTGCTTACAGCTATTTATTTAAAATGCTGATATTAATGAAAAATTTTTGACACACAATTACATCACACGCAATCGCATGCTTTCTTCAATGTATGACCTTATATAATAATAACACGTTTAATGTTTGGCAATGCTATTTTTATTTAATATTTTGTAAAACTTAAAAATTTTTTATTAACAAACTCTACGATTTGAAAGCCAGCAGTGGCAACACATTTCAAAATGAAGCAGATTTTTATCTCCAACGTGCGAGACTGTTGTCATTCAGAAAAAGTGTGAAAATTAGTGTTTTATGAGTTTTTAATTAATATTTCGGCTGATTGAAGTCGTACGAAGACAAGAATAGTTGAAATGGCTTCATACGAATTTTTGGAATCCAGAGTAATATATTAAATGTTTGGCAATGCCCTTTTTATTTCATATTTTGTATAACTTAATTTTTTTTTTCAAGAAACTCTACGAGAGAGAGTTTCTTGGGGGGAAAACAATAAACTTCTCTTAAAAAAAAGAAACTTCCACTTCTCTTAAGAGATTAGTGGAAATACTTTTTGAAATAAAGCAGATTTTTATTTCCAGCATGCAGGACTGTTGCTACTCGGAGAAACAAGGGCAAAAATTATCGTTGTCAGGGTTTTTGATTAACATCTCAGCTGATTAAAGTCATACAAAGATGAGAATGGTTGAAATGGCTTCCCACAGATTTTTGGAATCTGTGGTTATTTGTCTCGAAACTGAATTCCCCACCATTCCAGAGATAATGCAAATAACAAACAGATACGTGCAGATTTTAATGGTACAGGCTGTCTTGTTTCATCTTAATATATGAATTATCAGCGAAACTTGTTGCTGGCTAAATGTCCACATCGACAAAATGCCCATAATGGATAAATATCTTTCTCATTAAGTGTCACAGAACCTAAAATTACAACATTTAGGAGGACTGCATTAAAATGTTTCTAAAGGCGAACTTAAATTTACAAGCACTGTTTGAAATATTTGAAATTATTAATTTACTGAGATACCTTTACAATAGTTTGCCATCATAAAGATATCAGCTATTGCTGCTAAGAAAACTTCACAATGACACCCCAACATAAGGGTACCCACTTTTATGAAAATCAGTTTTTAACTTGAAGAAAATGACTTGCTGGTTGGTACTTTTATTCCAGTAAAAGTTAAGAGTAAGTACCCTTGTAAAGGTTTTTAGCCTTGGTGAATAGTAGCTCACGTACATAAAGGTGATCGTACCTTTATAAAAGATGATTACTAGCGGTTCCCTGTTTATTTACCTGACTGTAAAATAATGTAAACTCTAGACTGAAACTCAATTCGGTCAGACCCTGACTTGAAAGATGTTTCAGTACTTTCTGATTATCCACTCCTCCACCCAAGTATTCACTAGAGACTTTAGAGAATATTTGTGAACTCATATTGGTAACTAATTCTTCACCAAACTAATGAGCAAAAGGCCACAGCCAGATTCAAGACGATAGATTTAGATGACGTGGGAATCTTTCCAAACACCTGGGAAGAACATGTAAGTCACCTGAAAGCCGTTTTGACCAAAATAAAGGACGCTGGTTTAACTATTAAACCTATAAAATGTAAATTTGCTCAAGATAGAGTAAAATTTCTAGAACATATTGTAGGTTGTGGTATAAGAATGCCAAGTGAAGTGAAAGTAAAAGCTATTCTTGATTTTCCAGTGCCATCCACAAAAAGTCAAGTCAGAGCATTTTTAGGATTAGCAGGTTATTATAATCATTATATTCCCATCTATAGCAGCACCTTTAACAGAAACTTAAAGAAAGGGAAAATAAATTGGACAGAAGAATGCACAAAAGCATTTGAAGAGCTAAAGGAGAAACTGCCTCAAAGGCCTATACTACATGCATCTGATTTCAATAAGGAGTTTATTTTGCAAACTGATGTTTCAAACTCTGGTATAGTGTCATTTTAGCTCAAAAAGATGAACGAGACAATGAACATCCAGTATTATACCTCAGTAAGTTTACAGAAACTGAAAAAATAAATAAATAAATAAAATACACTACCACAGAAAAGGAATGCGCCGCCATAATATTTGCTGTAAAGAAACTTCAATGTTATTTAAATGGGCATACTAAATTCCTCATCATGACCGATCATAATCCCCTAGTTTGGCTCAAGAATAATGTGAGTCTAAATCCATGACTTATGAGATAGGCACTAGTACTACAACCCTACAATTACACAGTCATTCATCGAAGTGGTAAAAATCATAAAAATGTAGATGCATTAAGTAGTACTCCCTGGTCTGATTAAATAATTTGTTTCTCTATATAGATAAAAAAAATACTTTGTTCTTTCCTCTCTTCCTCAGTGTATGTTATTTGTTGTATTTCAATTCTGTATTGAGCTGATATTGTTGTTTTGAAAAAAAAAAATTAAACTTTAATTTATAAAAATATAAATTAAATTTTACCTTTAACAAATAACTATATTGATTATTGAAGTGGCAACGTCGTATTTGTATGATGTAACCATTGCTCAGCAACAGAAGAAATTGTTTTAAGATTAGGATTCTGAAGTTTGACCAGCTAGCAGATGTATGAAAATTTTGCCACTTAAGAATTGTATACAAATTATCTATCTCCATAAAATAAAAATAAAATTTATGTTTTACTAAGAGGATTATCTGTTATTTTGTCAATTACTGCAGAATACATTACAGCCCGAAAATGCATAATAAAGCAAATTAAATTCTACTTTATTATGTGTTATTCTTAACTTAGTTATTTTCATATTTTAGGTTTTCAATTTCCCTTCTGTCTCCCACCATTCATATTTAAATGTACATAACTGGATGCACAGAAATTTCTACATATATCAACAAATTCAAAATTAGTTAGCTTATTGCTATTTAAATATAAAATCATATCAATAAGTACTACAGAGTTTTATACCTGTGAAATATGCTTTAGCAATTATTTTTTGTTTTGCCTACATTTCACAGGTATAACGCGCATGCGTCACGTTTGGTCTTACGCGCATGCGTCCCCCTGCGAATATGTTTGTGCGCGTGTGCAAAATACATTTACGAGTGCACGTTTAATGTATAACGGACAGTATAAGCTAAGCTAAAATTATCCAATTATCTATTTCAGTTAATGTTGCAGATCGCGTTGTTCCTTAATCCTCGAATTGGATTTCTGCATGCCATCTTACCAGATTTAAACTGATGATCTATAATCCGGAATCACCGAAGTCCCGGATTAACGACTTTTGACTGTATATGTTATAGAAAAAAGACAAACTGATTTTCACAGATGCATAACAAACTACATTCAGCTCAAATCAATGGAGATGCCTGTGCTATTCCGAGGAGAGAGACTTTGGTCATGTCACAGCCAATAGGGAATGAGAACATACTTTTATTTATTTACCCGACGATTTTATTTATTACCAATTAATATGTTCTTCTACAGACCTTGCATTTAACTCACTTTGAATGCTCAGATAATTAACTACATATTCATTTTGTAATAACTTGATGATAAATAAATGTGCAATGAGTAAAACAAAGGGTATGATTTTTCATAAACCACATCTAATTTATTTTGAATTAAAAATTTTCTTCTGATAATTGTAATATGAGATTATTTAAATACGTTAAGATATAATCTACTGTAATTAAGTTTAATGATAATAAAATGACTGACATTACAAGAGATTGAAAACTTGACTGGAATTGAAAATTTCCAATTACAGGGTACATTGATTGATTCAATATAAATGAAAAAATATTCTACTTTGAAATGATACGTTTCATACCTGTTTTAGCTCTGTTAAAGCTTGCTCATCAACACCTTCATCAATGAATGCTTCTCTCACATTAGCAATAACATCTTCAATTACACTATAGTATAAATTTGGCTGAAAATAAATTAAATATTATTCATTTTATTTTTCATTTCTGAATTAACAGTTTACATAAATTGTAATTCAATCAGAAAAGTGTTAATATACAAATGTATTATACATCATTTTGGTGCATTTATTGAATTTAAAAAAATTTCATTGGTTACTCATGCAAATAAAGATATATTTCATCAGAAATGATAAGCACATATTTAGATATCGAGATATTAAAATCTGAAAAGGCATCTAGTTAATGAAGCTGCAAGGAAAAGAGATTTTAGTCAACACATCAAGTAACGTGTTGGATTTCTAGTTGAACCAAATTTTTTAACAAATTAGAAAAAGTATAAATGCGCTGTAAAAATTTTAGTTACCTTGAATACAGATATTTATTATTGCTCATTTTAAGCCACATAAAGCTGTACAAGCATGCAAAATTTGGCAAATGCTTTTAATTGGCTATTTATTTCTTCAGTGGTGATACTAAAATGCTATCTTTAAATCTGAAAATGATTGATTAATTAATTGTTTAACTTATAATAATTCCATTAACTTCCATTTGTGATTTTACACACCAAAAGAAGTAGCATTTGGTGTGTAAAATTAGAATGTTTCTATGTGTGAATTTGTAGGCATATGAATAATGTATGTCACACAGCATGGCCAAAAAAGTTATCCCTTTTATTAAGAGATTTCATGTTTCAGCACAATAATGTGATAATTTCTGATTGATAACAATAATTTCTGATGGGGGCTATCCAAAATTACTATTAATTTGTTCAATTTTAGTTTTTTCAATTTAAGTTATAAAAAAATACGATACAACACCCCTTTGTTGGGAGACACTAATAAAACTAATTTAAATGAGTATGCACAATATCCGAACGGCAAATTGAAGCATACATATAAACCTAACATTAAAAAATAATGTCTTAATTCAGTTTCAACAGTAAGTTCAAAGATCTTGATATCGATACTCATTTTTATTATGTTTGTGGATACTATGAAATTTTGGAAATGAGAGGGCTGATGCTCTAGAAAAGCTACCCACGAAGCTTCACATTAATTTAAATCTCCATGTTCTTGTTTCTCCGTGGAAGCATTTTTACAGAAATTCTCATACCTGTATTTGAAATTGAGAACACCTGGCCTCACCGAAAGCACAATGGACAAAAAGTTTTTCCTTGCTGTTTTTCACATAATAAAAGTTGATAAATTTTCAATGGATTTTAAAGCAACTAAATTTTTGACAGGACATACCGTATTTGAAGGCATATAAGATGCACTGGCATATAAGACGTACCCTTATTTAGACGGCCACACACAAGGAAAAAAAGTTTCAATAGCGTAGTGTCTTTTAGTTCTCGCATTTCGTAAAAGCCAAATAAACAATTATTGAATGCAATTATCTTCATGTATAAGACTGTGTCCTTCACGTATAAGACGCAAGTAACTTTTCTGAGACCAAATTTAGGAAAAAAAGTACGTCTTATATGCCGTCAAATATGGTAACAAATTTAAGAGCTTTTTAAAGCGATTTGGACTTGCTTCAAGTGTTTTGTGCAGCTGCATTAGTGGCAATGAAGATATAAAGCATATTCTTCTCGTGTTCATCATGCCCAGCAGAAGATATTTCAGGCAACTTTGAAACACACCTATATGTATCTTGGCTACCAATATTTTCTGAACGTTTCTGGACTAGGAGACAATTTCTGCTTTTTGGAACTTTGTTCTGAATTCAAATAGAGTTACTCTTCGTTTTATTATTTAATTTTTTCTTCTTCGTATTTTTTAAAATAATTTTCTCCCTATTTGTAAGTGCTGTTGTACATTTGTTTATTTATTTTGTTAGTGCTAAAACTCACTTGTGTAAGCCTTGTATGTAAGTATAGTTTGTGGAACATGAGGAATTGAAATTAGAATTAACAAAAAAAGTTTTTAATTAAAATAGGTCATGCATTTAGTTTTATACAAAGAAATTATATTCACAGTAAGACCCCGCTTAACGCGGGGGATAAGTTCCATCAAAGTAGATCGTAATGCGAAACAGCGCTAAACGAGGCTATCTTAACATGCAAAACATGGGGTTAGGGAAGGATGGATAGAAAATTGGTTAGGTTATAAGGATTATGTTAATTTCATTAACAGTTAAATTTTAAGTTCCTTTCCTGTCACTACTTCCGGCCAGCCTTCCGTAATCTTTCTGAATATTTAATGAGAAGGAGAGGTATTTAAACCGCGAAGTTACTTACAGAGTTAGAGAGAATCAGAGTTTCTGATTTACGCGCGTCTGCCTTTTGGCTACTCTCTCTCTCTCAAAGCTGTTGTTACGCTCGGCCTTACTCAGATAGAGTCGATAGAGTTAAGGGGCCAACTCGATTAGAATCTTGATAGCTTCGGCTATATTTCTTTAGTTAAATTTTTAGTCTCTTAAGTTCAAGCCCGAGTGTCGGCTTTGATTGTACACTCCAAGACGGAGTTTTGTTAAATCTTATTGGAATAATAACGGATTAGTTACCCTTCCATCTTGTTATTTCTTGTCACGAACTTAAGCGCTAACTAGTTCTTAAGATTCGCTAACTAGTTCTTAAGATTCTTCACCTACTGAGAACTGTAACTGAGAATTACACTAGTGAAAATCTTACAAGGTATTAAATTTAATAATTTTTTAATAAGAATAAAACCAAACATTTATTTCTTACAAAAATAAAAATAATATAAAGAAATATACTTATAAAAACAAATAAAATTTTCAGTCAGTCAGATCATTCAGTCTATTCAGTGTTTCCAATTTTCTGCCTTTTGTCAAGAAGGCATTATAATAGATTGGCTTAATGGCACATTGCGTTCAATTTTCTCGTCAATCCATATAGACAGTCGTTTTTCCATTTCCACTATAACGTTATTTCTAGAACGGGTAATTCTAGTTGCAAAGCTTGACGTAGTTGCAGTTGCCGATGACAGTATTTTTTCTTTATTCTTAAGAATTGTCCTTATTGTTGAAGTTTCTAAATTCAATGCAGCACTAATTTGAGACTGACGTTCAGCAGAATCTAATCTTCTAATCACTTGCATTTTAGTTTCCAGTGACATGCTTTTTCTGGTTGCTTTCTTTTCTTTTGTGTTTTACTCGTATTATCACCCATGATAAAAATTAAAGATCATAATATTTGTCACTGTATTAATCGTTATAGTATTATATAAACGTTTATACTTACATTAATGTCAACAAATGTTTCAAATGATAAAAATGCCTCCATACAGCACCGCACCAAACAAGAAACACAACTACACTGTTTCGGATATGTTATTTGGAAACTTAGCGCTGCGCACAATTTCGGGGAATCCCCGTAGCGCTGCGAGCAATTTCGGGGAATCCCGGGTTGAAATAAAAGAGCGTTAAACCGAAACAGCGCTAAACGAAACAGCGTTAAGCGGGGTCTTACTGTATTTCTTTTTTGTGCAATAAGAATCCAAACAAGATTAAACATTTGATTTTAGGGACTACATTAACACGAACTAAATTCACCATTTTATTTTAGTTGAAATTCATTCTGTATTTAGGGGAACAATATTAATAACGTATTTAATTAATATTATAAAGAAAGTGAGTTTTGTATTTTTTTTAAAGAAACAAAATATTGTTTACTTCCTTATTTTTACGGTCTCTATTTTTTAAAGGTTACCAATAATAGTGATAAATCGCAATGGCAGTCCTAATAATGATTACTTAGTTAATTCACTTATAAGAAGAGCTGTGACTAGGTTGTGTGTTAACATATTTTCTTTTTTCCAAAAACTGTTAACCATTTTTTATTAATGGATAACTTAAAAAGACATTATATCATTTTCCCAAGAAACTAGCACTTTACCTTGCATTCAAACATTTAAAAATGGCCATAAAATGAAATTATATATCAGTGAAAGGATATTTGGAGATGCAATGTGACAAGTTGCAAATAAAAGAAAAATATATGTTCTCACAACCAGTTCAATGGCTTTGTAACGCTTCTACAATTATTCTCTGGTAGAGGAAATGACATCGATTAAGTGGCATGCATATTCACAAAGCCTACAGACCAATTCTACTACGGTCTGCTCTCATTGGATGAAACATCTGCTTGGCAGTCATATTTGCAATGGCGAGTTATCGCCCTGTAGGTGTAGGGCATAGGTAATTGTGGGCTTTCAGTACAGCGAGGAGAACATCGTTTATTTCATTCGATAATTTTTTGTTTTTGCAGATTACAAAAATATGCCAAGATCTAATAAACGCAGCTGATATGCAGTTGATTGCAGGCTGAAGTATCATTAAAATTATCACATTAATAAATATTTGGGACCGCAAGCTGTAACTGGATATATACAAAATATCATATAAGATATATATGATATTTTGTATAATATAGATCAAAATAAATATCAGATTTTGATCTGATATTTATTAAAATAAATATCTTCAGATCAAAATAAAAATCAAAGCACAGAGGCCCAAATACAGCCTGCAATGTGACAAATTAAGGATAATGTTGTTCTGGGCATACTAATTTTAATGACATTTTAATTAATTTTAATGTTGTATTTAATGGAACACATAAATATCCTTCAGCCAAGCAGTCCTCTCTAACGAAGTAGCAATCTGTTCTGTTAACAGCGCATACTTAACTGTAGGTGTATCAAAAAATGATTAAAGAACTCAATGGGAGAAAAATAATTTATAGTGCCCTTGCATAGGCAAAACAGATTAAATAATTCTCTACACAAAATACATGCAGTATTTTATCACAAATAATAAAGGCACCCTTGATAAATTTATAAATATAATAGCTTATACTTCTGACAATGCAATCCAATTATCAGATTTCATCATTTAGGTGCCGTCGCATTTATTATTTCTGACACAAAATTCACTGAAAACCTTTTATTTTTGATAACAAACAACTTTTAATCAAGTTTCAATGCTATTTATCAATACTAAGGCTGTTCATACATTTTTTAGATGATTTTTATTGTAT